TCTCTCTCTCTCTCTCTCTCTCTCTCTCTCTCTCTCTCTCTCTCTCTGTGTGTGTGTGTGTGTGTGTGTGTGTGTGTGTGTGTGAGTGCGAGAATATGTACAGACAAATCGACTCACCCCTTTTCAATTGCCATTGCCTAAACAAGCACTCTCTTTCTCTTGTACTATGCTTTGCTCCTTGTCCAAGACGCTGTAAGGACGCACTCAAAGTTCTCCTCGCCCTCTAGACAAGTACTAATTGGAGTTCTCACCAAGGACGGATGCATGACGCACGCACGCACGCACGACGCTGTAACGACGCACGCACGGCACTCTCCGGCTCGGTCCGGACCACGACGACCACTTCTCCGGCCTACAACGCTCGCTATCCCCTATAAGACGACTACTACTGTAAGGCCGATCACACAGCGCGCCACTGTTTTCTTGCCCGCAATTACAAACAACAGTCTGTGCAGGACGTTGCCCGCCAGTTCCTTATGTTCTTCGATATGACCTTCACGTGACCTTGCACACTACTCCTCCTCGCCTTCCCAACCATTACAACATACAGCCCTACCGGTAGGGTCTCGCTCCACTACGCTCCCCATGTCCCCATGTCCTTGCAACCGCGTTCCACCCACGGCGTTGAGCGCTCCAACATATATGCTCACACACAACCAGGTCCCCAACCAGGTCCCCGCCCACGGGCGTGTACGTTCCCAGCTATGATCCCACGTTAGCAATGTGTATATATTCCGCGCCACATTACAATACGTACGTCAGCGTATCGCCCCCACTGTACCGCTATTTCCCTCCTCACCCTTTTCTCTACTACCTACCATCTACTCTTTCCACCTCCGGACCTCCGCTTTTTGCTTGTACGACCCCCAAAGCACAACCCCAACCTACTGGAACATTCCACCGAGCCCTTTATCTCTCGCACCTACGGGTAGCCCGGCTGTTGTAGCTGGCTAGCTCACCAACAAATGTGATGAAAAGTTTTTTTTTTTTTTTTTTTTTTTTTTTTTTTTTGGATGTGATGAAAAGTACAGAACTGTACCAGGTGCATCTGTCCAAGTTGGTCTCGAAGATACGTGATCCATTGTACCCAGTCGATCAGCAGTGCGACGCGCCCCGTACACGCTTCCAGCCATGTGTCCACCGAGGCCCGACAGTGTATTTAGTAAACAAAAAAAATGAAAACAAATCACCATAAAAAAAATAAAAAAGGTTAGCTATACCGCTCTTTTCCTTTTCCAGCAGGAAGCCTCTGGCCTCTTGGAGGACAGATTCACAATCACGAAACATTCGATCTCGTATCAACGCCTGTCTGTGCGCGAAGTGTCTGGGCCCCTCCACTTGTACGGACACCGACAGGACACTCCAGCTCCTTCCTGTCCTCGCTGGCTCTACACGTTGCGGGTTGTAACACCATCTCCCAAAAGTTCGATTGAAAAAAAACACACACACAAAAAAAAAAAAAAAACATCCTTCAGCGCACCTACCGTAGCACGTTTGCCGCCTTGGTCTTGTTTTTCGCTGCCTGTACAACCCGCCCCAAAGGCCCAGAAATTCGGCCCTGTGGTTCCGCTACTCACCAAACGTACAAAATGAGAACGAATCTTCCGCTAGAACGGGGAAAGATACACCACCATGTTTGTTTTTTTGTTTTTTTTAATATTGGACCATTTCCCGATTTATGCTTGTCATCCTTGCGCAGGGGCCAAGTCCCACTAGAAGCGTTGAGGTGGCCCGAATGTGGACGTTTTTGTGGAGACGTGCAGTTCGGGAAACTCAACACCATTTCTGCACATCTCGGCAAACGCGTCCACATTCGGGGCACGCTCACACTAGGTACCCAAATTCCCAAAAAAATGGGCCGTTTTGAGGAAATGTGGCCCTGGCCGGTCACACTGTGTTCCCAATACGCTAACGACAAGGTCGCGACATCGCTCTCTGCGAGGTGCCTGTGGAGGGCGCCGGTCACACGGTGGTCCCTCAAATGGGAAATGCAATTGTTCAGTTTTTATAATCTGTTTTTTCCTTTTTTTTTTTTGGGGTCGTTACTGCTGGCAACGGGTGTCCATACGAACCTCTCTGCTCGTGCTCCGCGCGTCTGACCGCTCCGTGCGTGCACCCATTTCCCCAAATTTCCTTTTCTTCAATTGATAGGCCGCTAATATCGTGGGGTTCCATTTTTTCTCCAATTTTTCACGGTAATTCGGAAAAAGATTTGAGAAATTGCGGTAACCTCCGTAGGTCACCGCAAATTTCCTTCCCCCGCGGCTTCGCTGGCCGCTGACAAATGATCACCCCTTTTGAGAATTTGGGCAGATGTTCACCATGTGTGACTGTCCGGGAACCCTTTTTTTGGGGGAAAATGGGGATTTGGTACCTAGTGTGAGCGTGCCCTCAGGCGTTAAGGTAGCTCAACGCTGCTAGTGGGACTTGGCCCCAGGTGCCATGCTAATCTTCTCCCCCGTTGGGGGTTCCCTGAAGGCAATCAAGGCCACCCTGGGCTGAAAAGGCCACCCCCCCGATTTCAGATTAGACACAATATTGAATTTACGTGGCTGGTTAGTCCGATGATAATACCTCAAGGCCATCGCCCTTCCAAAAAACAAAAAAATATATATATATTCTCTGTACCGTTCCAATTTTAACGCATGTCCCGGAGGACCACCACCATGTTTTTGCCTTTTGTGCTTGTGGCTTGTGGTGAGTAGTGGAGCGCGCTCTTTGGTCCACGCGCGGGGACCATTGCACCGGCAGCAAGCGGCTGGGGCGATA